TTATATCTAATAACATCTCAAAGATATCTTTTAATATTAAATAAACCTTTTAAATATAAATAACAAATCAATTTATCTTTTAGTTAAAATAGTTAACCACATTTATATATTTGTCGTAATTATTAAAATTTTTAGGATCTCATTTCAAATTTATTACTATTATCACAACTTATAAATATATAATATTTTGAATGAAATTGAATGTCAATAACGCTATAGCCTATTTTCTTGGGCTTGGTTTTAATATGATTTATATATCCTATTACAACCAATTTTTCAATACTTAAATTTAACCTTTTATATAATATTTTTTCTCTTTTAATTTTTAATTATTTAATAACTCAAAAATAACCCAACTATACCAAAATCACATTTTTGATGCCTTCACTTCTATAATACTTTTCTTCTATTATTTTAATTCATGATACTCACATCTATCACCTTTCTAAATAATTATTTCTTTTAGGATCTTACATATCACCAAGAATTAGTATAATTACTTCACTAATTAAACCACTTCATAGTTGGTATTAACCAAAAAATTAACTACATAGATATGATCAATGTATTACTGTATTCCTCCTTTACTTACAAAACAAAGTTTAACAAAATATAAGTCTTAATAAAAAGAAAGGGAAACTTTGTACAATACAGGAAAAAATAAACTATAGATAAGTAGCATCCACTATCCTCACCACTCCTAGGCTAACTCACTTATTCACATCTATCAAACAAGCAAAAATTGCATTATATACACAATTCAACCACTCTCGATCAGAAATTTATCAAAAATTTCATTTAACAAATACAATCAAATTTACATATCTATTTTTCTTTCCCTAATTAGTTTTTAGAAAAAGAAAAGACGAAGAAGACAAAAGTTAATCTATTGAGAGGGATTGAATAAACTCATAAATATTTAAGTTAACTTCTTGGATTTGTGGTATAAGGTCTTAAAATATAACTCATGCGAGTTGGTTATTTGGTATAAATCTTTTGTCTAAATTCAATTCTAATGAATAAAAAAAATAGTAAAACGAAGTTATGAAGTAATGTGCTCAATCATTTACACCTCCCAAATTTTATCCATTAGAGTGTTGCTTAAAGTAGAAGTTAGAATTCCTTTTGAAATGCAACCCTTCACTCACGGCAGAGACTGTGCTGCTGCTCATAATTAGTGCGTGGAAACACATGGTCCCTCATTTTGAGCCTTTTGGATGTGACAAAAGGAGCAAATCTCCTAAAAGTCCTTCATAAATTATGGAAAAAAGGTTTTGCTTTTGTTTCTTATTTTTCCACTTATTTACCAACTACTTTCTTTACAACAATGGAAAACAATTACTTTTTAAAATTAAAATCAATTTGTATATAAGTTGAAAATAGACAATTTTAAAAATTATATAAAAATTTTTATGAATTCATTTTTACATGAACTAATTTTTAGTTATAAAATAGTTGAATTCAATTTTTTTTTCTTAAAAGTTCTTATAGAAAAATTTATCTAAATATCCTTTAATCTATGTTTTAACAATTGGGGCAAATCAATTGATTTAATAAAACAAAAAATCTATCAACCATGAGTTCAGACCTATTAGCCAAACTGTGAAAGAATTGGTCAAAATTTTGGTAAACTAATGTGTAGTTCATTAAAACCAAACCAATTAAATTCGGTATAAAACTATGAATCGTTCTGAAGAAACATTTTCAGGTGCTATTAGAAATAAAATAAAATAAAAACATGTCTACCATCTAAAATCGTCTAAAGTATAACTTGTAAATAAGTTAAATTGTAAAACTTATTTTTCATTCGTTTTTTTTTTTTTAAATCTAACATTTAATTTATACATAAATTAACTTTAATTTATAGATAAGGAGGTTGAGTTCCAAAAGGTTTTGTTTCACACTGCCAATTTTCTGTTATGGGCTGATTGCAAAGTGAAGTGTTTGATGACTGTTATTATGCTTGTGTGTTGTGTAGTGACTCTTTTAGTAAAGGAAATGATTTGTTTATCCTTGATCACTCACCTTTTCCTTCCTTATCTCTCAAACACACACATGACCAAGCATACAACTGAAACTATAAAACGAAAATTGCTTCCAAGAATATACAAAGAGTTTCACATATTTCGACGATCTAGCATCAATGAGATCAAGTTCAAAGCACAATCTTCACAAACATAATCATTGTGTGACAGCTAATTACACTTGTGTTGTGCTGAAGAAGAAATGAAACTTTTAGTTCACTTCTGGCACAGGCCAAAGACTTGTAGAAGAGTAGGTTCCCCAGTCTCAGTACAATTATCAAGTATTTGAACTAGAAGTTCGAAATGGCCACAAATATGATAGCAGATTCCTCCTTCCACTGGTCATCTCTCTATTTCCTCTTCTCCTTGAGATATTGTCACTGCCACTACTACTGTCACTACCACTCCTTCCTCCCCTACTACGACTACTTCGGGAACTGGAGTGTCCTTGAGATGGCAGCTCAACACGGCAAACTGGACAGGAATTGTGCTGGACCAACCATGGAACAATGCAATCTGAGTGGTAAATGTGGCTACATGGCATTTTCCTGGCCTCAGAACTCAGTTCAAACCTTTCCTTACAAACTGCACAGTGAGAATCAGATTGGAGGTGTTCATTTGTGATCTTAATTGTTGGCATTGCATCAATAGAAGAGCGTGATGCAGGAGGTGGACCAAGCCGGTCATTTGTTATGTGCTGCTCAATGAGTCCTTCAAGTCTAGGACCAAGAAAGTAGTGACCAAAATCAACATGCCCAGAACCACTTCTTGAGCCACTGTTGTTAGAGATAGTGAACCCTGGAGGTTGACCATGAAATATAAGATAAGGACCAGATGTATAGATCCCCCAAGTCTGATCAGGAAGAGGGGTGCTACCAAACCTCCTTCTGACATCAAAGTTTGTGTAGCTTCCAGCCATTCTCTGCCTCATGAAATTGTCAACACCATCTCTAACTCCAACTCTTGGCTCGGAACCTCTTTGCTCCATAACATGATTTACAGCATCCATAATGTCAGGGACTTGATGAAAATCTTCCCTTTGTGATGAAAACCCTTGTTGCCTTGAAACTGCTCGCAGCAGCTCGTATAGTTCTTGCACAAAGCCTCCATCGCAGTAAGGGCAAATTGCATCTCTCCTTTCAAGCCAGATTGGCTGCCTGCATGTATAACACCAGTATGTCGTTCCACTTGACATGCTTTCTCTTTCACTACAAACTTTCACTCTGCTTCTGCACCAAGTATAAAGCTTCAGATGGTCATTTTAGTCACAGATGAAGTTAAAAAAATGAGTCATAAAATTGACAACAAAAGTAANACTTCGGGAACTGGAGTGTCCTTGAGATGGCAGCTCAACACGGCAAACTGGACAGGAATTGTGCTGGACCAACCATGGAACAATGCAATCTGAGTGGTAAATGTGGCTACATGGCATTTTCCTGGCCTCAGAACTCAGTTCAAACCTTTCCTTACAAACTGCACAGTGAGAATCAGATTGGAGGTGTTCATTTGTGATCTTAATTGTTGGCATTGCATCAATAGAAGAGCGTGATGCAGGAGGTGGACCAAGCCGGTCATTTGTTATGTGCTGCTCAATGAGTCCTTCAAGTCTAGGACCAAGAAAGTAGTGACCAAAATCAACATGCCCAGAACCACTTCTTGAGCCACTGTTGTTAGAGATAGTGAACCCTGGAGGTTGACCATGAAATATAAGATAAGGACCAGATGTATAGATCCCCCAAGTCTGATCAGGAAGAGGGGTGCTACCAAACCTCCTTCTGACATCAAAGTTTGTGTAGCTTCCAGCCATTCTCTGCCTCATGAAATTGTCAACACCATCTCTAACTCCAACTCTTGGCTCGGAACCTCTTTGCTCCATAACATGATTTACAGCATCCATAATGTCAGGGACTTGATGAAAATCTTCCCTTTGTGATGAAAACCCTTGTTGCCTTGAAACTGCTCGCAGCAGCTCGTATAGTTCTTGCACAAAGCCTCCATCGCAGTAAGGGCAAATTGCATCTCTCCTTTCAAGCCAGATTGGCTGCCTGCATGTATAACACCAGTATGTCGTTCCACTTGACATGCTTTCTCTTTCACTACAAACTTTCACTCTGCTTCTGCACCAAGTATAAAGCTTCAGATGGTCATTTTAGTCACAGATGAAGTTAAAAAAATGAGTCATAAAATTGACAACAAAAGTAAGCAGTTAACAAGTCATGATGAACATTTAGGATATTGTGGTGGAGTGTGTTGGCAGCACACCACATGCTCGATATTATATCCCTAAGAAAAACCAAATGGTAAATCTGAGAGAGATAAGGAATGGAAAACTCCAACAAGATAGAAGAAAAGGGACCCAAATATAATCAAACTTCATGTCACAAGGTAGTTTCATAACATTATTATGGACATCAAGAAATGCCTTTCGAAAAATTTGACTCAGAAAACAATATGAAGAAGAAACATAAAAAGACCCCCCCGATTAAAGTAAACTAGTGACAAAGCATCTGATTGGATTTCAAGCAGATATAAACACATTTCAAATCAGAAAACAAATAGTTGCCCAAGAAAAAAAGGAAATTATAAATGAGGTCATACAATGAACACAGGAAGTTAGAGCTGTGAACATAAGGTCAACTATATAGTCAACTATCTCTTGTAATCGAATAATGAAGAATTTCAACAAAATTTAAAGCAAGCACATAGGATCATGAGTTAACCTGATTAAAGGGATGCAAAATATCCATCTAAAAATATCCAGAACAAAAAATTTCGAATGGGTTTTGGATTATCAGAGGAGTTCTTCTTCCTACCATAACCCCAATAGAAAACCGGTCAAGTCCAACAATTTTAAAGGGAGACAAAGCTCCATAACTTCACACAGACAGATTGAAATGATTTAAATGTTTACCCTGAACAAAACAAAGCAATTACCACATGAAATAAGGAGGAACAAAATTAATACAGGAACCAGCTAGCTTCTACAACAGAAACAGAGCTTTTCCTCAAACACGACCATAAAGCCAGAAACAAAAGATAGTGAAGGCAACACAACAAAAGCAAACTGAAAAGTAAAATCCAACAAAAACCACACCATGTTGTCATCAAAGCATATAAACAAACACCCATCACTCCAAATATCATTCTGAGTTCACACCCACCTAGAATCCACTGAAAAAAACATAATGAATAGCAAGAAGAAGAAAAAAATCAGAATTTATGAGAGTGAACTTACCAATGAAAAGGAAGAGAAAGACAAAAGAAGAAACCAAAATGAATGAAAAAACTCAGAGCATAAGTTGCAAAAGATTCTGAACTCGGTGGAGAGAGAAAGTAGAAGAAACTCTATACAATTGATAGGGTGTTCCCACCGAGGGCAAGTTTCCTTTGTAATTTTCACATGTTCAAAATTTTGACTATTCTATATTTAATTTCTTGTAATTTTCACCTGTTGAGAATTTTTATTATTCTATACTTAATTTCGTGAAGGAAAGGTTCACCAAGATGAGATGACGCACGTATAAACATATAAATTGTAACTTCAAACAAAGAATTTTCAATAAAACAAAGAGTGTTTATTATTTTATGTCATATGTCATCAATATTAATTTTTTATACCCACGTTTTCGTGCTAGTTCACATAATTGAGAAGAAAATGTTAAAACTAACTAAATAATATGATTTTTATCATTATTTAATTTTAGTTTGCTACATAAATGCTTAACTTAAAGCATAAGTTAAGTTGTCTTTCTTTAATAGTACTTTGAAAAATGCTACATAAATATCTTAGTCTTTTTATTCGTAAA